GCTGCTTTGGACATATCACTTGAAAGTTTTTCATTCCTCATTATGTTTCCATTTACTTTGATAATGTCATTTGCTTTATTTTCTTATATTTGTTTTATTCATAACCTTATATGATTATAGCTAGTTCATTGATATTTATGTGTTAGTCACTTCAATACTGAAATACATTGATGTAACTAAAGAAAGGCGCAGACGGAAAATTGTTGTTGCAATATGCTTAATATAAGTTTATTATAATTGTACATAGAGCACTCCCCTTGCATAACATCTTTATATGTTGGTGACAAATGGGTTGGAAAGTTGCTTGCGGGCCACCCAATGAAGTTAACCATAACTGTATGCACAATTATCGTATATTTATTATATGAGAATATTCACCTTAAAATAGAGTAAAAATATATGTAATAAAGGAATCAATATTTATTTCTCAATGAACAAGAGAACCCTCCCTCTCAAGCTCGTTTTTTTCCACCTTCATGTTGAAATGAACCTTTTTTATTAATTTGTCATTGCTGATTAGGACAATCGTGTCCATTTTGAGTAGGGATTAAGTTAACCCATCAAGAATCTAATAATTTTAGTTTCATATTGGGTTAGATTCTTGTTTAGAAGTGATGTGTGCTAGAGAATTCGCGGCGGTGGAGTAATGAATCATCATATTAGCATTGTACGAGAATCAAACACACGCTCATGTAATAAAAGTGACACGTAGAAACACCAGCAGTTTTTACATGAAAAATTTAGTAAAGAAAAAAATCACAAACTATGAGTTGGTGATTACACGTACAGACCCTTATATCATGCGCGAAACATGGTGACAGAGTTTTTTAAGTTACAACGGTTGTATGCAGAAGAGCTCATTGCCCCACCGTATAAAGCGATCGCAGCGGGGTGTAATTGTTAGAGCTTCGGTACACCAAAACTCAAGGCATGACATGAATCCCGAACAATTTTTTTAGCAAAAAATATTTAAACTTCTATTAAAAATCATCCAAAACTTTGATTTCGATATCGACATCACAGAATCACGAAAAGTCTGTTTTGAAAAGTCAAAGGCACAAGGGCTATTTGAGATCATTTTTTATTTATATTTAAAACAAAAAATAAAATTTCTTTGGTAAGTTAATATATAAAAGATTATCTTTGAAATATAAAAAACATCTAAAATTTACTTTCAGTGTTTTGAATGATATATTATTTTTAAAATATTAAAAATCGAATGGTATATATGTGAATCTTACTTGTTTTTAAAAATAAAACAAAAAAGCATAAGAAAGGCACATTAATTAATTTTAAAAAAAAAAGCATAAGAAAAAAAAAGAAATAATTCCCAAACAAGCCCTTAGTCTCTTATGTGTTACATTTTCTTAATTTTTCATGTGTGATTATTTGTGGTACATCATTTTATACAAAGAATGTTTTTTGTTCCAAGTCTTTCAACAATTTTATCATACAAAAATGAAATTTTAAAATGAATGGTCATGAAGTTTAGGATCAAATGAATTTGGGGTCTTCTAAAGAAATTTGTGAGGGCATTCAATGATATTTGTTTTAATCCTTGAATTTTAAAGTTAACAAATGAGATAAAAAAGCATTATATATAAAGATTTAGATGAGACATTATATTTTCTAGCTCTTAGAAAGGTAGAAGTCATTCCATTGGGGGCATGGATTCTCTTAGGAATGAATCACACACATTATAATTCCTTGCATGAGATCTAAATCTTAAATTTAAAATACATTAACCAAACTTCTAAAAGAGGGTTCAAAAAAGGGATTGTACAAATTTGATTCAATTTAAGTGAGTTTATGTAGATTTGGCTCATATGTGTTTAATAAGTCAGTATCGCATCTAAAATAAATTTGACTCAATCAAGGATCCCATGATGAATGAATTGGTTTGATTGGCTACAAATGGGCCCAAAGGAATTATTAAGCCAATTTGGTTGCATATGAATTAAATTTCTTCCAATTAGGTTCATGGTTATCCAAATGGATCCATAACCTAAGATACATTAGATCTAATTAGGTCCACTTGAGCCAAAAGTTAGTTTCTTTGGTTGGGGCATGACTCAAAAGGTCACTTTGCCAATTTTAATGAAATTTAGAATTGATTTGGGTGAGATTTGACTCTAAATCACATCCATGGTTTAAACTAAGTTAATAGCTCAGCTTGTTCGATTGGATTTATGATTTCTCAAAGAGAGTTCTTTATATTCCTAAGAATACTTAAGAGCTATTAAAACTTATTTCTTAAAGAAGAATTTGAATTTGTATCAAATGTCTATTATTAGACCTTTTAGTCAAAAGGGGTTGTTGACTAAGAACTTAGGTGCTTTTAAATGGGTCCAAAATATATCCTAAAATAATTAGTTTAAATTCAAACCAAATAGAATGAAATTGAATTAATTTTAAAGAGATTCAATTGACTTCACCATTAGGAGCATTAGATTGTGTTGAAATTTATCCTAATTGTTCTTGGACTTATTAAAAGGCATTAGAAATCAAATCCTAAGAGAAGGGTATATTCTATAAGGGTAGGCTCAATATGATAACCTAAGGTTGGCTTGATCAAATATGAATGACTAAGCCTCCTATACTCAAGAGAGAGAGTCTAAGAAAGGTCTAGAGTCCTTCTGTAGGGTTTAGAGTATTGGACTCAATCTTTGAATATTTAGGTCTAGATCACTATCCTATAGGGCGCTTAAGAGTTGATTTAAACCTAATTGAGCTTGAATCGGATTGAAACTTCCCTAATTTCATCATGAACTTGCTTGCATCACTAATTGAATTGAATGAGCTAGAGTTCAATTAGAGCTCATTTGAAGCCAAACGAAGGAAGACATGACTTGAGTTAACGATTTACTATGGTCTCTAGGGGTCACTTAAAAAAACTTCTCTGTCTATAGTTTAACACTGAGAATAAGATTAATTTTATCGTCCTCATTAAATTGAGGTCAATCTAATTTTATATTCATATCACTTCAATGTTTACAATCTCGTTTGGCTTAATAATGCAAGTACTAAGTGAGGCATTAGTTAGCAATTTTGTTTTGTTAATTGCTTCGTCCTTTACTTCACTGTTTTATTAAAAATAAAACAGTATTGAAGTCTGCTTCTTTTCAGTAATTTCTTATTTAAATATGATGGACAGAGAAATGATTTTTTATTTAAATGCGTCTATTGCTACGCATAAAAACCAAATGTATGTGAGACATGGAATAATGGAATGAAAGCTAAGATATTTAGGAAGACTTGTTATATATTAGTACTAAATTATGATAATATTAGCATGTTATAAAATGTCTTGAAAAACATAAGCCGAGAAGTATCGCCTTTGAACCCTTCTTTTCGTTTTTGTTCCAACCGTATTATTTGTAAACGAGCCGAACAAGAGTGAGCCCAGGCGGCTCGTTTATATTTCGAGCTCAAAAAGTGTGTTCGTGTTCGGCTCGTTTGCTTGGCTAGCGGAACACGAGCCGTTCACGAACAAAGAATCGTTTTGACAATCCTAATCACGTAGACATAAGATGTTAAGGATTGGGACAAAATTTAAAACATTATTGGAATCTAAATTAATAATTTTTATTATATTTTCTTCATTAATACTTTTAATTGATTATAAATTTTTGTAACCTTGTAGTGAATTAATTTTTTTTAAAATACTACTCAGCAAAGATACATATATAATTGATCGGTAGTCTTTCGAGCCAAAACGAGCCGAACACGAAAGAACAAATATTGTTTGTGTTGTTCGTGTACGGCTCGTTAACTTAGCGATTGAGCAGAACACGAGCTTCTTAACGAGTTAAACACGAGCTGTTCGCGAAGAGCAAGCCGATTTGACAGCCCTATATATATATATTTACTTTCCTTTCTTAGAAGTCAATATCGATAAAATTATTTTTCTCGTAAATATATTTTTGGCTAGCTAGCACGTTAGTTATAACTAAAAATTATATAATTTAAATTATCAATTAAAAAACAGTTTAATAATTGTTGTTAGTATTACTTCAAATGACCAAGCTATATTTTACAGATGTATTTTTGTTCTCACTTCTTGTAGAACCTCATTGTTGAGCAATGTTAGGTTTGATTCAAATACTTTGTACACAGTAATTCAATGTCATTTGATGGTAGCTTTAATCTTTTTTTCTTTCATATTTATATATTCGCTTTCCTTTTTTCTTTATGGCACTTGTATCCAGTCTTTGGGAATCATGTCATAAGAAAGTATCATCATAGATTCTAAACTTGATGATCATTAAGTATAAGATCAAAAATTTTGATAGGTAAGAAAAAAGGCCTTTGAATAGCTGAGAAGTGTGCTATCACCATTCAAAAAGGTTTTTCAATCGAACTCACCAGGGTAGTATTAGGGGAAATGAGCATATTTCTGACGGCTTAACGACATATTTGGGGACGCAACAAAAATGTTTGTCGGTAATTATTTTATTGACAAAATTACCTACAAATTATATGTGTCGGGGGTTTAACGATGATATAAAACTGTCTTTATAGACTATAATTTGTTATCGTTAGTAAGTCGCCGGTTATGTCTGACGGCTGACCGTCGACAAAGTGTAGCATTATCGTCGGAAAAATATAGCACAGCCGTAAAAAAAGTGTAGCAGAGACATGAGTACCCGTTAATATAAACTGACGGTCTATGACATCAGAAAACTTGAGCAGATATCACAAATTTTTATTGTGTCATTGGATTGTAAATCGTCGGAAATGGCCATCATAAATTATTATACGTCGTCGATATGTCGTCAGCAAACCGTCAAAAAAATGTAACATCAAAAAATAATTTTATGCTTCTTCAGCACTATAATTTTCACACCTTCAATCATAACACTATAATTTCCACACATCACAGTGTACTAATTCAAGCAGTTATTAATCTAATATCACAATATTATTTAACGCATATACCATAAAAAGAAATCAAAGAAAATCATTGCATTAAGCCAACCAAAATGAATATTTGTACGTAAAAAATAATGTTTGCTCCAATAAATTATTCTAAATAACTAAAGAGGAAAAAAATAAGTTCGTACTCCTCTGTCCTCTCATCACGGTCCTCGTCAGACTCATCCTCATCTGGTTTTTTCCTCTTAGTCGTGCGTGTCACAGTATCGCGTCAAAATTTGCCTTCATCTTCAACTCCATCTTCCATCTTATTTGGGCTAGCTAAGTGGAGATTTGGGCAACAACCTCAACAACAAATCTTGCCTCATTATCAAGAGTAAGAGCATCAACCTGCCTACAAAGCTCCTCCTCCTGGGCAGTAGAGGTCGATGAACCGAATGAGCTGAAGGGACGAGCGTCGTAGGTTGATGCCTGAGATCCTAAGTCATTGATCCAACCCTTTTGCATCCCTCTAGTAGCCTCTCTCCACGTGTCGTAGTTAGAAGGATCGGGATCTGTGATCGTAATACCATCTGACTCCGGGCATTCGCTCTTCTTCATCCTTTAAAAGGTCTTCTATAAAAAAAACAAGACTAAAGAAAGTTAGAGATTAGAAAAATGTCAATAGTTATTTGAACTGTAAACTAATTAATCTTTTAAATTACTTGGGTCGTCTGAGATCCGTTTTCACCCAGCTCTGGTCTGGCTGCAGCTTATGAGTGCGCACGTGTAACTCGATAGCGGATGGGTCCCTTCCAATGTTATAGACTGTCAGAGTAATGTAACAGTTAGCATACATTTAATGTTTAATAAAATTTAATGCATAAATTAAGTCTTACCACCATCCTCTTATGCTTTTGTATATAGCATCCTCTTATACAAAGCATACATTTAATGTTTAATAAAATTTAATGCATAAATTAAGTCTTACCACTATCCTCTTATGTTTTGTATGTAGCATCGTCTACCAGTTTGCTTGGAGGCCCCCTTGCCTCCGTAGTCAGAGCAGTGATTTTGTTTGGTCTTCTCCCTCTTCTTTTGGTATTTAGGAGAATCTTATGACTTAAAAAACGAGGCAAACACATCCTCGTCGAGTTACAAAGTGCGCTAGCGTGTCTTTCGTATGTCCCCAAACATATTACGAAGATGGTCGCTCAAAATCCTCCTTGTGCTTGAAGTTGCGCTATATGTGGGCCTCCTCCTCAGGTGGTCATCACCATTGTTTCTGCAAAATAAAATAGAAAAAACTAGATTGATATATATATATATATATATTATATATAACTGAAGATAATTGTGTTCGGTATATACATTGAACTCCTGAAATCACATATTTTGAATTGGGATCAAGTCCTCCTTGCATGATAAGTAGGGATAGTCAAACTTGTTCTGAATGATGTCCCGGACAGAATGGATGGCCTATGTGAGGAGAGAAAAATTAGAAACAACATAGCATGAGTATTCTATTAAATAAAAAGATAAAGGACTAACATCAATATCTAAGAAAAACTTACGCATTCCCCACAGGTCGTAGCTGAAAAATGATGCATGTGGTGCTTGAACTAGATGACGCATCGGGAGCAGTTAGTGGTGGTGTCGGTGTGGTAGTTGTAGCTGGTGGCAATGCAGGTGTGGTAATCACAGTCGTTGGTTGTGCGAATGTGGTGGTCACAGCAGCTGGCAGTGCGTGTGTGGTAGTCGCAGGTGATCGGTCGCCCTTTAGAATTGATCCGCCAGTTTGAAAATAATTTAGTTTAATATATATGTAATTTTGATTTTGAAAATAATATTTTAATTTTAAAAATTGAGAACAGATATATCTCATTCATTTAATAGTTTAAATAATCGAGTACAATACTACAAGTAATACATCATCTCGAAATATGAGCATATCACTTGATAATAGACTTAACTATTTAAACTAAGAAATTTATAATATTTATGTGGTCTGCAAATTTTACGACTGATTATTACTCTATCTAATATAAAGATTAGACATGACTTAGATTATCTGAGTTATTAATTCTCCTATAGGCATAACCCCCTATAGTTAATTACTTCTTGAACGGCTGAGATCACTTAAGAAAACTCTCAATTAAAATCGGGATTTCGGCTTCAAGAATTCAAAGTTTAGTTTTCAGTGGGAATGTCTCAAATAAGAACAGTCTTTTGGAGACCAAATGAGCGAAAGGTATGGGATGTCATAGATTATGAGGGGAACCTCAAGGACTTCCCAAGCTATCTTACTATTTGATTTTACATTTTGGAAGTGATGTTATCTGATGTTTACTCTTGTTATTTTTATTTTAACTCTAGGACTTACATTGCGCAACATACGATCATCACATGTAGCCTAAGAAGATATGAGTATTTACGACGTACCAAACGAGCAGCCTCGAAATCCTAAAAAATGTTAAGATTTATATTGCACGACATATAATCATGTGAAGACCTTAAAAGATAACGTAAAGATTTACGTCGTGCTAGACGAACAACCTCAAAGTCCTATGAATTTATATTATATAAGTCTAAGGAAAGTTTAGTTGAGGTTCATCGTTCACTTTATTGTTTTGGGTCTTGATTCGTCGCTTGAAGGTTGACCACCATTGTCTGATCGCGCTGTCACCTCGTTCCTTGAACAGCTCCTCCGAGGTTCTTTATTGTAGTGTTTTAGTTATAGAGGGTATACTTTTGAGTTGATGATTGTTGTTTTTGTTATGTTGACAAGTTTTGTTGTAGGGCCTTTAAGAATTGTTTAACAATATGTCAGGTTACTATGTTGGTTGTGTATCATAGGGTTTCCACCTAAACATATGTTCTACGTCCTCTATCCTAGGGTCTTTCATAAGAAAAGAATTAAAGCTTTCACCCTAGGCATGTGTCCAATGTTTTCTACCTTAATGGTCTTTCCCACGTTTCATAAAAATAGTGATAGAAGGATAACATGCATAAACGGAATATACACAATAAGATGCAATAAAAGGGAAGTACACTAAAAAAGAAGTGGTAGTACATACCTGCCGCCTCTGATGATACTTTTGGAAAGAATTGCAATTATATGTTTGATATGTAAAATAAGATAGTAATATATGAAAGATCGAAGTGTATAAGAGTTAAAGTTAGGGGTGTGCTCAGACTCAGGACATGTGACCCTGACGATTCTCGAGGGACATCCATAGGCAACCATCAGCATCTGTTCTTATAAGTCCAGCCTTGGGAAGAAACTACCAACAAGACAATCAAAGAAAGATCTTAGCCCCATCAAGGTGATTGGCAAGTGGACGTACAACAAGTCAACACCCAAGTTTCATAATTAGAATTTTCACCAAAGTCATTAGCAACAAAAAAATTAACCTCGCAAAAAAAGATTGTCATATTATTGTATACTTTGTAAATCATATGGTCCACAAATCAGTCATATTATTGGGTTCGGGCTACCAACAACCTAGGAAAGCAAGGGCAGCTTCGCACCAAGTGTTGGAGAATAGTAGTGTCGATCTTGCTCCCTCACGAAGTCATCAGGTCAGGAGAAGTAATATTCTATTGTCCCGATTTTTAGCACTAGATGTCTTTTGCATCATCGCCCTTATCTTCAATCCTTCCAACTTATAACCCCACTCGATGATTCATATAAAGCTGCTCCATCTTGAATGTCTTCAATCAAATCTTAACATCAAGGTAAACATGTGGGAAGACAAAGGGTATTTGCCTACATACGACTCAGTTCGTATGTGTTTACATATTTAACTCCTAAACTTTACTTTTTGAATTTATGCTATCAAAATCTTTCATATCACATAAAAAGGACTAGCATTTAATTCTTAAATAGGAAAAACTCTCCCTTTTTATGCATTGATACCATGGTATATATGTGAGAATTTTCAGGTTTATGCATTAAACATGTAAGTGCATGTAAATACTGAACTTTAGGTTCTAAACGTAAAAATATGTAGGTATTGGATGGTGCGCATATAAGAAGAATTGTATGACCTACATATAATTTTAAGTTCAGATATTGGATATGTAGAAACATAAGAATCACGTGGTATACATGTAACTCTTTCATTCCTTGTTTACCTTTTGAAAGCAAAGCAGATATTGATAAACACATAAGAATTGGGTGGCGTATATGTAAATCTGTAAATCTTCCAAAAGAGTGATAAGACAAACCTAACAGAATGTATCCGAAAAAGCTGCTCAAAATGACTTCCACCATGCACGATGGTTTAAGATTATCATTTGACTAATATGTACATTTACATACATACCACACAAATTCTCATGTATTTATATATCTAATATCAAAAATTTCATATTTTTTTCTACATATGTGTCATTTCACTTATATATGAAAAGTTAATATGAAAGATTTGGGTGGTATAAATGCAAAAGATGCAAAGCTTAAAAAATTAAACATGTGAAGTGCAAAGTTTACATGCAAAAGTTTTCACCAACAGAGCCTTGCCGCACACCTAACAATCATCAATCCACTATACCAATGCATCCTCTAACATATGTAATTATTATAATACCCAAGCCATATTGAGGGTTCATCCACCGATGCCCTAAAAAATAGAAGAAAGTTTATATTTTAAACGTAGGAGACTGTTGGTATATAAGAGAATTCATATAGTCATCAAATAAAAACTTCTCTTTTATGAGCTTATAATATCGTCACAGCTTAATGGAAAAGAAGCTCATGTCTGATCATCATCACCAAGCACTACAAAGGAGGCAAATATTCATTCCAATTCCACCGCTCAAGAGGATTTGAGTTGTATAAGTGTTAGAAAGAAAAATAAAGTTTAGCTGTTAAGTACATAAATACAATAGGAATTAAATGGTATCTATGTAAATCTCCCAAGTAGAATTTGTCCATCCCAATAACGGCCCCCCAAGCCATCCTCATGCCTTCACCATTATTTGGCATATTGTCCATCCAAGGTTCATTTCAACTTTCTTAAAGGCAGTCAAGATAATGTTCAAACGCAGCACAATGGTACCAATAGATAGAGAAAGCTCCATGTAGGTTATCCAACAGGCAACAAAAGACCCAAAAATGTCTAAGTTAATGTGAAAGTGCTATGTGTCTATATATGAAAGTTTAGGTGTGAGATATGTAAAATACCTAAGAGTTTTGAGGTAAGGTGTTTAATATGTAGGAACATAAAAATTATGGGGTATGCATGCAATGTCAAAGTCACTCCCCATATTCATATGTGGCGTATTTTAAATGTTGAATTTCCTTTGGTAAATACTTGAGCACAAATTCTAATTAATGCCCATATTCCTCACAATTTAAATTTAAGGTGAACCTAAGATACTAAGTAGCAGGTACAACAAATATCCTGTTATTTCACCATGAGCCCGACAATATGAAGCAGCAGATCCCACAATGATTGTCACCAGGCAGGCAATAATAAATGGAGTAGTCCAAATAAATCCAGAATGAGTGAAATCAGATAGCAGCTGCAATATGTGAAGTTATAAGGGATTCTATAGCAGAGAATAGCACTCCAATTTGTGAAGGTAAATTTAGAAGCCATGAAATTTTATTTTAGTTTGATTAAGAAAACACGCGTATGTATAACAATGAAGAACATAAGGAAAACAAACTTATCTAAGCATCCTCAATATAAAAGCTTAACACAAATGTCACCCGATATTGGTTGGAAATCCAAACGTAAGAATGCAGTTAAGATTTCTTGAAAGTTTATCGAAGAAAGGAGAATGACTTCGTTATTTAAAGAGGAAGAAAACGTACAGGTCATGCTCAAACGAAGAAGGAACTTCTTGCGTGAATCAGAGAACTATCTTGACAAAAGAAAAATGGGGGAAGAGAGCAGAGATGAACAAACAAGGGGTTCGGAGAGCCCTTAAGGCTTTGAGTGTGAAGAAGAGTTAGGGCCGGCTGGGGTTTCACACGCGAGTGAGGAGAGGGGTCTTGGGGGTGACGAATAATAAGGTGGCTTACGGCTTAAGAAGGAGGAGGGGAATTTAGCCGAGTGAGGGCTTCGGGGCGAGAAGCTTGGGAGCCGAAGACTTGCCAAGAGTGAGCTAAGAGTGCTTGCAAGTTGCAAAGCATCTCACCATTTTCACGTGAAATAATCATTCTTCAATGGGCCCTAGTGTTAATCATCACTACTGATATAAATCATATTCTTTGGAATCAAGGGTATTTTTGGGCAACCGTCAAGATATAATTAACCAAATGGAATATATACCCTTGGGAAGTAGTTATTCTTTCACGGATATTGGTCAAAGGTGATTCCGTCTGATCTTATTTGGATGAACATACTTGACACATCCTTGTGAAGTTTATCGCTTATAGGCTCTCTACATTTTTTTTCTCTTGTTTATTATCTTTATCGTATGTTTGTCCTTTTCAGTTTCTCTCTTCTCATGATCATTTAAAAGATTCAGAAGAGAAACTTATTCAAAAATTGGAAATATTTGACGATGGACAAACCGGAAACTCCTTTAAAAACAAAAAAGAGAAATGAATGAAACAGTAATTATATGTCGCCCACATCCCCGACTTGATCCAGCTCGAGTATGCTCTCCACTGAACCGACCCGGCTCACTTCAGCCTGCAATCGCTTTTCATTAACCTGACTTGCACTTGCCTTTGCCTGAGCTCGTACTTTGCTCAAATCTGCGTCGTACCAACTAATGTTGAACACTTTGTTCTGCCACTAGCCCCCGACCAAGCACCATCTTTTTTGAAAATTTTATTTTCTATTATTATTCTATTTATTTTCAAAATACAAAAAAAAAATCATCTGAAAATAAGGGCAACTAATGTGTCATCAAAAAAATTTATCATTTGACATAAATCTTAAGGAATTTTTTTATCAAGAAAATTTTAATTTAAATTAAAGATCATCTAGAGCTCTAATTTCAGCAAGATTATTGTTAAACTAACCATCTCAACAAGTTGAATTTAATGATACCAAATTAGTTTAATCTGAGTCCAATTGAGTTTAGATCAAACTTTTAAAGCACTTTTGGAGGCTTCAAATTGTTAATTGAATGGTCAACTAAACTTCAAATTTAACATATTTTTAGTTGAATCAAGCATCTCGATGAGTAGAATCTAGCGAGCATATGCACTCTTAATTATGAGATCATTAAGGCTCTCAAATAATTAAAAAATTTCATATGATCAAGGGGGTCAATACGATACATTTGATTAAGTGGTTAGGGAAGTTTTTTGCCAATAGAGCAAAATACAACACCAACTATTAGGCTTAGCATTAATATGAAACCAAAAGGTTAAAAATGCAAATATCAGATTTCAGGTGTTTAATATGTAGGAACATAAAAATTATGGGGTATGCATGCAATGTCAAAGTCACTCCCCATATTCATATGTGGCGTATTTTAAATGTTGAATTTCCTTTGGTAAATACTTGAGCACAAATTCTAATTAATGCCCATATTCCTCACAATTTAAATTTAAGGTGAACCTAAGATACTAAGTAGCAGGTACAACAAATATCCTGTTATTTCACCATGAGCCCGACAATATGAAGCAGCAGATCCCACAATGATTGTCACCAGGCAGGCAATAATAAATGGAGTAGTCCAAATAAATCCAGAATGAGTGAAATCAGATAGCAGCTGCAATATGTGAAGTTATAAGGGATTCTATAGCAGAGAATAGCACTCCAATTTGTGAAGGTAAATTTAGAAGCCATGAAATTTTATTTTAGTTTGATTAAGAAAACACGCGTATGTATAACAATGAAGAACATAAGGAAAACAAACTTATCTAAGCATCCTCAATATAAAAGCTTAACACAAATGTCACCCGATATTGGTTGGAAATCCAAACGTAAGAATGCAGTTAAGATTTCTTGAAAGTTTATCGAAGAAAGGAGAATGACTTCGTTATTTAAAGAGGAAGAAAACGTACAGGTCATGCTCAAACGAAGAAGGAACTTCTTGCGTGAATCAGAGAACTATCTTGACAAAAGAAAAATGGGGGAAGAGAGCAGAGATGAACAAACAAGGGGTTCGGAGAGCCCTTAAGGCTTTGAGTGTGAAGAAGAGTTAGGGCCGGCTGGGGTTTCACACGCGAGTGAGGAGAGGGGTCTTGGGGGTGACGAATAATAAGGTGGCTTACGGCTTAAGAAGGAGGAGGGGAATTTAGCCGAGTGAGGGCTTCGGGGCGAGAAGCTTGGGAGCCGAAGACTTGCCAAGAGTGAGCTAAGAGTGCTTGCAAGTTGCAAAGCATCTCACCATTTTCACGTGAAATAATCATTCTTCAATGGGCCCTAGTGTTAATCATCACTACTGATATAAATCATATTCTTTGGAATCAAGGGTATTTTTGGGCAACCGTCAAGATATAATTAACCAAATGGAATATATACCCTTGGGAAGTAGTTATTCTTTCACGGATATTGGTCAAAGGTGATTCCGTCTGATCTTATTTGGATGAACATACTTGACACATCCTTGTGAAGTTTATCGCTTATAGGCTCTCTACATTTTTTTTCTCTTGTTTATTATCTTTATCGTATGTTTGTCCTTTTCAGTTTCTCTCTTCTCATGATCATTTAAAAGATTCAGAAGAGAAACTTATTCAAAAATTGGAAATATTTGACGATGGACAAACCGGAAACTCCTTTAAAAACAAAAAAGAGAAATGAATGAAACAGTAATTATATGTCGCCCACATCCCCGACTTGATCCAGCTCGAGTATGCTCTCCACTGAACCGACCCGGCTCACTTCAGCCTGCAATCGCTTTTCATTAACCTGACTTGCACTTGCCTTTGCCTGAGCTCGTACTTTGCTCAAATCTGCGTCGTACCACTTGGTTGGCCATCGCTATCAGGGCGGCCACCATGGGCAGGCCGACCACCTGGGCAGACCACAAAGAATGCAGTCGAACGGCCACCCTAGCCGACAATCACCAGTCCGCCTGCCACAAAGAAACTTCGGTAAATTTATGTGTGTATATGTATTCATATATGTATATGTATGTATGTATATATGTATATGTATAGGTATATATATACATATATGTATATATGCATGCATGTATATATATTCCTTAATTAAGCAATTTCCGTGGATTGAAATAACATTGGTGAGGACATTGGCGAAGTTATTTTAACTCCTGAATTTTTCATTCAACTGCCCGTCAATGAAAAATATCTATATTACTGCAAGTTTTGTGCTAGAGTGATTGATTGAATTAAGTGCAATATCACCAATGACTTTATTATGACAAATAAAGAGAATTATGACAAATAAAGAGATCGATTACTAAGATAGAAAGCTCATTCTTGTGAGTCATGTATCAACCAAAATGATTCACAAATTGCAAGTGGCGCACTCAGCTTCTACGCAAGCAAGCAAGCAACAATTTACTTACCAGCTTCTCTCTACATGAGATTACTATCCACATGATAAGTTTGATATTGTTTATTATATTCTATTATAGTTTAGTGGTGAATGCCTGAACCTGACTTATTAAGATTTTTCACTTTGTTTCCAATCAATGTGTTGCACATTCGAGCACAAATTTGTCTTTATACCTTAGTAATTTATAT